AAATTGGTTTATACGGATAACTTAATTTAAGCAATTATATTTTTTTTTTTACGAAAGTGCAATAAAATGTCGTACTTATTTGTAATGACATTTTTACCCCTTTTATCTCAGCCATCACACATGCAAAGGCAGATACTCAAGGAACCATGTGAGACTTTCATGCTAACAACTCAATGGATATTGAAAGAGCTTAGAGAGAGCATAGAGAAAATGGAGCTATGCAAAACCAAGGTTTTGATAAACCCAAAATTGCAATCTGCAAAATTACAATTGAGCCCTGCATTCTCCACTTGCAACAAGGCCCAAGTTTTTGAAAATGATGAAAATCTTGCAATCACAACAGTCAATTTCTTGTTGGTAGAGATTGTGGAGAAAGTTGAGATATTGGCTAAAAAAGTGGAAGAGTTAGGGGAAGCTGCTAATTTTAGAGTTAAGAAGATTGATGTATAGTAGTAACAAAGGGATGTGTACAAAATTTGACAAATTATAAGTATTGTACCTATGAGAATTTTAGATAGCTCTCATAATAACATTTTGAGAAATTATTACTAGTATAACTTACAACATAAGTAAATCAATTCACTNTCGTAGGCACATTAAGATGTACTCATAAGTCACATGTCAAAATCTGATGACATTTTAACACCATATCCATAATTTATGGTATACTTCACATTTTCAAAGCTTTTGCAAAATACGACATTCAAAGTAAAACAATACACAAAACTATTTATAAACGAGCCATCAACTAAAAAATGCAATTTAGAAACTAATAAAAAAATAATTACAATTAAACCATTTATAAACAGTAAAAGTCAGTATATTTATAATTAATTAAACTAGAAACTTCATGAAATGTGCTAATAAAAATAAATTTGTATGTAAACGGAGTAATTTCTCTAAAATTTTGAGATTCAAATATTTTTACATTGTAGATGGTCTTGTTTTGGCCCAATTCCAAGGGGCCTAAAGGCCTAATCAACGTAGGCTGCCTGAAATATATGAACCTAACCTAGCGTCAGCTTTCGGAGGAAAAAAAATCGACCAGTTGAATAAGGAAAAAGATATGGTTTAAATTAATTTGGTAAGGCTCAATTATTGACGCAATTAAGTTAATCTAGAAGAGTTATTCGGATGTTTTATAAAGCCAAATTTTTATTTAAAAAACTAAAAATATAATAACAATTTTTCATCTAAAAGGGTGTCATATTTTTCTCTATAGATAT